GAAAAATACTTCATGAACCATCGCAGCTTCAGTGGTCTGGGAGAACTAAGTTTAGCACCAAAGACAAGCTCTAAAAAACGGAGTTGGCTGGAAGAAAAATCTTTTCTACTGATTTTAACCAAGTCAAGACTTGGATGTTCATTGGTACCTAGTTTAAGAAAGCCAATTAAGGGAAATGGGATTTTTAAAATAATGCCTTTAAATCCAATTTTGTTAAGCACTTGATTTTGTAACAGGCACCATCCTAGACTCCTTGTTATGTTATCTTATTGGATTCTCAAAACATTATGAAGTAAGGAATCACAAAACCACTGTCTTTTTTAGGGATGAGAAAAGAATGAAGTAATTTGTCCAAGTCATGGAACTAATTAGAAGTGAGCAGGGAATTCAAAACCAGATTTAAAAGCTCAGATGAAAATTACTGTAAGGTCTGTTTTAATATACAAAGAGAACATTATGTACGATGCTGAAGTTGGAAAAAGACTAAATTCCAACAATAGACAAATGTTTAGGCAACCTACAATTACATCACAAGATTATGCACTGGTTTTTTAAAAAAAAGGTTTACACTGTGATAATTTGCAAACATTTTTGTTAGGCCAAAAAGTAGAATGTAAAATTGTATATAAAATGTGATTAAAGCTATGTATACCTGGTTTAAAAAAAAAAACAACTTGGGCATTAGGGGGGAAAATGAATAAGAACCAAGACAATCTTTTCTATGGCAATATGCAACATATTTTTTAAATATTGAAAATTTTAACCCAGTAATTGTTTCTTCTAATCTGTTCTAAAGAAATAATCTAAAACCTAGATTAAAATTTGAGAATGATGTTCATCAAAGTGAAAAAAAATGTAACCAACAATGTCCAAGTGGGCATTTTTCAGGGAAATTATTATACAAGCATATATTGTAATTTTATATAGTCATTATGTCTTCAGAACATGTGTAATGACAAGGAAAATGCTCGCATTATAATGGTAAGCAGAACTGCAGTATACAAAATTATGTATACAGTATGATCATAAAATATAAGCAGACAACAGAAAAGAAATATACCAAAATGTTAACAGTGATCCTCTCTGGATAGTAGGATTATGATTAATATTCTTTATAATTTCCCATGTTCTATGATTTTTCCACAATATCAATTACTATTTTTATTTGAAATTTTAAAACACTCCACCTTTCCAACTTACTCAATAAACATGATTACTTTTACAAACACATTTTTAAAAGATATTTGAATGGTGATTTGTAAGATACTTTCCTATTAGGCTGTAAACTGTAAAAGGCAGGGGCACTTTCTTAATTATCTTTGCATTGCCATTGACTATCACTGTGCTCAATAGGTACTAACTGAATGGATGACCTTCTGTAATAATCTTTTTAATTTATATTTAATTGGAGGATAATTGCTTTACATGTAATAATCTTATATCCTGTGTTTGTTGATGCATAGAGAACATCAAAGAGATGTTTTCCTCTGTGAATGAATTTTTAAAAAAATTGGTATGTAATGATACAAGGTTCACCCATTATAAGTATACTTTTCCTTCAGTGGAAGTGAAAGTGTTAGTTGCTCAATCCTGTCCTACTATTTGCGGCCCCATGGTCTGTCCATGGAACTCTCCTGGCAAGAATATTGGAGTGGGTTGCCATTCCCTTCTCCAGGGGATCTTCCTGACCCAGGGATCAAACCGGGGTCTCCTGCATTGCAGGCAGATTCTTTATCTTCTGAGCTACTAGAGAAGCCCCCTTTCCTTCAGCAATAACCTATAAATAGAAGGCCATGGAGTTTCAAAAAAACTGTAACACAGTGATGTTGTGCCCTAGAAAGACGAAAAATGCCTTAAGGAAAGTGAGTGGTCAGTCTAGTTGAGAAAAGGAGAATTAAATCCGTAAAAATGGATGAGGGCATGTCCAGTTCTGTCCAGAAGGGAAAAGTTTTCTCACTAAACATATAAATACTTGGGTTCCTAATATAGTTTCATCCTTATTTTTAACTCCTGCTTTGAAAATTTTACCTTGCCTGCTGCAATAATTCCCTCTAATCTATAAGTACATTGTTTAATATGGTAGCCACCAGTCACACATGGTTACTCTGAGCACTTAAAATGTGAAATGATCTGAACTGAAATGTACTGCAACTGTCAGATATACACTGAATTTCAAAGACTCAGGATGAAAAAGTGACTAAAATGACTTAAAATTGTACAACATTACAGAATTGAAATTATAGTAGTCTTTATATACTGAGTGTAAAAAATACCATTAAAATTAGTTTTACCTGTTTCTTTTAGTTTTTTTTTAATGAGGCTACTAAAAAATGTAAAATACCTATGTGGCTTGCATTCTATTTCTATTGGACAGTGTTGACACAGAACCTTGGAGCTTTGATCATTTACTTACCTCTGTTTTGAGTCCATTCCAATTATTTTCCAATGCAGAGTCTGCCCTGGCCTACCTTAACTCCCTAGGTCCAACCCTGAGGGGAAGTGGAGTTGCCAGTAGTGAGAAGGAGCCTCTGTTGGGCTGCTTAATCTCCATTCTGCTTGGTTAACTTTTAGAAGACTTTGTGCCTTGAAAACCTTGTTTTAATATGCTGTACCTTATAAAATGTATTCCTTATCAAAACTTCCAAAAATACTGATAGCAAAAAAAATAAATAAAATTACCCATAAAATCCACCATCCAGAGATAATCACTAATGATATTTTGGCATATGCCCTTTCTCAAACTTTCAATACACACATACATGTAGAGGTATATGTATGTATGTGTGTGTATACATATTTTTTCAGCAAAATGGGATCATACTGTATATATTGTTTTCTACTCTATGTTCTTTTTTACAATAAGATACAGAAGCATTCTTCCATGTCAATAAAAATATTTTTCCAATTTCATTTTTCATGACTTTATTTAGAAGTTATGTTAGAAATGAGGACTTTTCTGATCATTCTATTTATCATTGAAATCTATACATACACCTTCCCAATCCTACCCTAATGAGATATTTTATTTTTCTCCATAGCATTTGCCCCTAACATGAAATGTTATGTTAATTAATGCTGTGAAATTTATTTATGTAGGTAGGTAGATAGTTATTTAGCTTTGTTTGTTTCCATTACTAGAATACAAGTAACATGAAGGCAGAAATTTGTGCCTATTTGTTCACTTCTCTAGCTCAGTGCCTAAAACTGTCCTCAGCACACAGAGGATGCTTGAGTGTTTGCTGAGTGAATGACTGAATTAATAAAAAAGTATATCATTCCATTATATTATCTTTTTTGGTTGATTTTTTAAAATATTGTTATTTATATCTCACCTGTATCCACATTTAAGACAGCTTTTAAAGTTTTCAAAGGATCTGCTCTCAACTAAAACCAGACTATCTATAATCCATCCATTTGCTAGAAAGTACAATTAAATGTTGCCCAATTTTCATCAGAAGTGTCATTTGGAGAAATAACATTCACAGAGAACCGTGTGAAGAATAAACAATTCATCTGTCCATTTAGATAGTCTGAAATTTAGCCCTATTTTAAACTATGGCATCAGAGAGCATATTTGGGCTAAATTGTGATGATTCTGATAAAACAAGCTTAGGACCTACTGAATCCTCCTTTGGTGTTTCTGCAAGAAACGGTAGTATAAAACTCAACCTCATATTGCTATCAGGTGCTATAGATGGTGATGTTCCTAATGGCACCCAGTGTCTTCTCAGAAGAGCCACAAAACTTTTTGCTACCTTAAGGAACTGAAAAGTTTTATAAATCCTAAAAGGGATGTGAATCTCATTGTTCACCAATTTTCCTTAGCTGCCAAGAAGCTCAGTTGAATTCATAGCCTACCTTTAGTATTTGGCAATACTGCTTAGAGAATGCTTTTCTGTGTTAATTGTCCTTTTGCTGTCATTTTATTGTACTATATCAATTTTCCCTTTACCCTTACTTTAAAAATCTACATTTTCCTATTGTTTTTTCTTTTGTATTATAGTAAGATATTACAAATGCTTTTTGGAATTAGGCAAATTACAAACCAATCAAACCACAGTAGGAATAAATCCACTAGCTAATATAGCCTGGTGATAGGAACTGTTAAAACCATCTAATTCCCTTTTCCCAAAAGCCATGCTCACTAAGCCACTCTGATTTTAATGGCTTGTCCTATAGATTTTTCTATATAGAGAGAATAGAAATGCAACAGTACATTCCTCTAAGCAGTGTATTTCTCACTGCAATTTAACACATAAACCAAATACCATGTTATTGTATTGGATTACAGAAAGACTAGAAACTCCCACTTGTAATTTCAAATTAAGATACTATTCTTGTCAGACATAACTTTGATATGGTCCTAGACTAGAAGTACAGAGGGATGGGCTAAACAATTTTATAGATCCCATCCAGTTTAGCGTTTCACATTAAAATGACTGAAACCAAATATCTCAGGGGACCAGGAAAGTAAACAAGGGCTCCATTTTTGCCAGACTTAAGTCTGAAGTAGATAGCAGGATATTGAGAAATGTTCATCATCACACACTTCTGATCAGAGGCTAAACCACAACTGGGGACGTGATTCCATCATAAAGATTTTTGATAGGTTTTCTTTGTTTCGTTTTGGGTTTTGTTGTGGCTATCCCAAAGCACCATATACACGCACCCTCTCAAAGGCTTGGGTTGGCACAGATGCAGTTCTTGGCTTTAGCATTTGGCTGAGATAGGGGGGTGGAGGAACAACTGATTTTTTTTTGGCCCAGCTTTCAGGATCTGAGTTTCCTGTCCTGGGACAGAATTCAGGCACTTAGGCAGTGAAAGTGTGGAGTACTAACCACTGGACTGCCAGGGAATTTCTGTTTTTTTTTAATTTTTTTATCTCAATTTTCCCAAAGCCCTATTAATCTAATTCTTGGCCTTAACAAGGTCATGATGAAATGATTAGATCAAGAGATGTCCTGACCGCAGGCTATACAGTATAGAAGTCACAAACCCTGCTCAGTCCTTCTCATTAAACTTCTGGGCTTTATTTATTTATTTATTTAATACGACCATTACATATTACACAAAAATAAAAGTCAAATGAACTTGGTATTTATAAATTATTAAATAAAAATACAGGAATATATATTTATATTTATAGAGCTTTTCTTCTCTTCTAAACTAACCAAATCTGTTCTCCCGCCGCTTTATGATTTTAAAAAAGTAAAATAGTGTATGCCCCAGGATAAGTGGGGAGTGGGGTTAATAAGTGCAGGACCTAGTTGCCCTACTTCTGCTCCTTCCTTGGCCTAAGCAAAGTCCATATTTGTCCCTTTGGGCTCTGGAGAGCAAGAAACAGCCTCTCCACCTATTTATTCTCTGAAAAATGGCAATAAGATTTATTTCCCTCACTTTTTAAAAAATGAAATGGATTTAAAAATTGGGAGCCATACTCAGCCATCTTGGCCAAGAGCTAATCCCAAGGAACTATATGGCTCTAAAAGAGAGTCTCTAGTTTTCCCTGACAGAAGTCTCTGGGGTTTCCATTCCCTCTCAGGCTAAGAAGGGCAGGACATGTCAAAACTGCCCTCCGTGGTCCCATCCAAGCTATACCTCTGGAAATCAGCCCACGCCCTTTTCCCTTTCAGAAAACAGCCTCTCCTTCCACCCAGGTGTGAAGGCCTCCGAGCAGGGCTTTTTGGTAACTGACCATGGTCCCTGCCTCCCCTGTTTGCTACAGGTTCCAGGAAAACTACGAGGGCTAGACGTTCTGTGGTAGAGGGGCGAGGGAAGAGTCTGCCCCAAACCTGGGGGAGCACAGGCTCCCATTTGGAGCTGATGGGTCTAGTCAGTGGTTTTCCAACTTTCTTTTTTCAGCAGCAAACCCCTTAATGCAAAAAAAATCTTACCCTGAACCCCGATATGTAAGACAGCTACAGGGGAGCTGTTCTGTTTGAGGGCAAGTCGCCTAGCCTGCTCAGCACCCCCACTTCGTCTCCCCCAAGGACTCCTGAGGCAATCCCTAGGAAACTTCAGGATCCTGCCAAGCAGGTGGAAAACCAATGGCCTAGTTTGTCCTGAGCAAGTCAGAGACCCCCCCCCCACATACCCCAAAACTGCCTGCCACAGACCAGCTCTGAGTGCCTGGTACCAGCATACTCACAACAGACCAAGTGGCCCATGCAGTCCACCACCTCCCCTATAAATATCATTAAAAAGTGCAGCCCTCCTCAAAAGCAAAAGTCTGAGCTAAACACCTGAGGCCAATTTTGGTCCCACGTTCTCGTGAGTACAACTATGTCGCCACATTCTAGGACCAGTGAAAGTCTCCAAGAGTCAACCATGGTCTAGCTAAGCAGGTCAGTGCTCAGGATCAAGGGAAGGGCTCTAGAGCACTGTGTCAGAAGAAGTCAGCATTGGAAAGCAGCAATTTTAGCACCTTGGAAAGTGCAGCAGTGAGGTCTGGCTCAGGACATGCATCTGGAGTGAAATCAATCATGTCTTTCTCAAAAGAAAAAGCTGTCATCTGAATCTATTCTAGAGGACTGTGCACTCTAAAGTTAACATCCTCAGACTCTGAGGTACAGACAAGTAACACCCATGGCAAACAGTGTGGCTTCCAAGAAAATATCAATGCTTCTAGGTCATGGGAGGTACTCTGGAACCCAGACACCTGGCCCTTAATGAAGCAGCTCCAATGCCCACCACATGGACCAGGCCAGCCACAGAGTTTACACGTCACCTTCACACAGGGTTCAGAGCTGGAATGTTCCTCTCAAGGCATCCACAGTCTTTCCGAGACACAGTGCAGGACCAGACTGTATTCCAGGTCTGCATTTACGTCCACACACTCAAAAGGAAAATTAGTAAGAGCCCCAATTTAGAGTTTAAGTTTGGATACAGAAGGTCCCAGAGATAGGGAACCCTTTAGGCACCAAGGCGCCCCAGTGGGAGAGGAGGGCAGGGGCAGCTCCAGCTCCCAAAGCCCCCACCCACCGCAGGCTCCACAGCCCTGCCTTTCTGTCAGAGCCCAGGAGGCAGCAGCAAGTGTATGATGCACAAGGAAGGGGGATGATGAAGGAACAAGGCCAGCTATAGAACTGCTCTTCTCTCCAAAGCCCTGCTGACAACTTTCTGCGAAAAAGTGGCCAGAGTCCTCAGCCTGGATACAGTGTTTCTCCCTCAGCCTTGAGGCAGCAAGACAAGGGGGAGAGGGAGTGGAAGGTTGGGAGGAGGGACAGAGAGGTGCCCTTGTTCTCACCACTGCAAGAGGGAGTGAATGTTTTCTCTCCAAGGAATCTCACTGCCACCAGATTAGACAAGCAGCCCAGCATGCACACGAGCGCTCGTGCACATGCACACTCGTGTCTCAGCAGCCCTCAGTCACAGCACCTCTTCCTAGCCCCTGAGAACCCCGAGCTCCCGTTCCAAAGGGATGTGCCTTCTGTATTTGCCCCAAATTCCACTCGTTGAATGGAGATGCCAACCCCCTCTGCAAGCCCACCTCCCTCAGGCAAATCACACTCCAGGCAGAGTTTCCTGTGCCTATACCTATAGGTATGATCCTTCCCACCTCCCCCCAACCCTGGAATGACTCCATCTCCTGACTTTCCAAATACATTCCACAATGTCTCCAGCTCACTCTTTCAACTGCCTGCTTGGCACACTCAACTCCCTCACACGCCACCTTTCCCCTTCCAATTCCCGTTCCATGCCCATTCTTTCCCCCACTTCTTCCAAGGGCATTCCTCCACTCTGCTCCAGCTCTCCTGCCCCCCCAGCCACACCTCACCCCACCTGGCCCTGGGCTTTCTCACTTGCTAGCGAAAAAGGCCCCTACAGTTACCAGGGCCCCCAGTGCCACGGCCCCCGTCAGCACTGTCCTCACTGAGGCCCAGTTCCCCTCCCGCAGACGCCGCGCCTCCTCCAGGGCCCCGTCCCCGTATAGAGCTGTGAACTCCGCCTGTGGGAGAGAAGGGAAGTAGGAGAGAAAGAAGGAGAAAGGGCGATCAGGAGAGGGAAGAGTGGAGAAAAGAGGAGAGGAAGAGCTCCAGTTCCATCCACTGCAAGCACTATCCCACCCCCAGCCCCTCGGATCCCCCATGAGCACCTGGCTCATTTGCCCTTCTCTACCTCAGGTGAATCCCATCGGAAATTTCCCTGGCCAAAAATTCTGCTCAGAACTGGCATCCTTTGTCAAGGCTTGTCTGGCCACCAGCCATCCCTGATCCCTGACCAGGTACTCAGGTGTAAAAATTTGTGCTGGTTGGATGCCGTTTCTGTGCAGGCCCTACCTGGCTACCGTGTGTTCGTGCTGTCCTCTGCTTTGGACCATGAGCCCCCCGAATGACGACTGCATGGCAGCCCTGAAGTGCAGAGTTCAGAGATGCCCATAGTGAGAGCACCTGATTCCACCCAAACAGGCAGACTCGGCCCCCACGCCTCACTCCCAGCACGGCCGCCCCCCAGGTCCAGCCAGAGCCCCCCCGTCTTCCCCCTGGAGACCCCCTTTTCGGAGGGATATGCAGAGCAGCAATCAAGAAGCTTCTTACCCAGCCCCCGCTGCTGTGGATCCAGTCAGCCAGCCGCGTCTCCAGGTAGGCCACCATCCACTCCTGCACTTGTCCCACAAGTGGCTCCATCTCCTTGTTGACACTCTCAGCACACAATGCGGCTCCAAAGACAAAGAAGGCCACAAGGCGGCCCCAGTTGGGGCCCCCTTGGAAGAGTTCATCAGAGACCTGGGTGAAGCGTTGCTGGGCCGAGCCTGGGGTCACATGCAGCTGAGCTGCCAGATCAGAGAAGGTGCGCCGGAAGCGGGTCTCGAACTCATCTCCAGCTGCCCGCATGGCTTGGTGTAGTGGGTCAGCTGCTGGGCCCTCCCCGGGGCCAGCTCCACAAACATACCCCTTCTGCCTCAGCTTATAGCCCACAAAGTCTGCCACTAGAGCCCGTGTGTCTGGGGCCGAGGCTGGGGTCGCCATCCGGGCGGCTGTTGGAGTCAAACATAAAAGACTGGCATAAATATATGGTCAGAGGCCCGGAAGGAGGTATTTCAGGTTTGGCCAGCCCATGAGACAGGCAGGGAGGTGAGGGGAAATCTCAGAGACCTCTGGGCCAAGAGGGGTAAAAGCAAAAAAATTAGGCCATGGCGAGGGGCACCATGGCTAGAGGGGCTGGCCCCTAAATTCGTAATATGCCAAATTCAATATAACACAAGTAAATTTCATCTAAAATACTTTAGATTCTTACCATAACAAGACAACAACAGCTCTATGACACCCCTACAACCCCTCCCCCTCCAGTACACACCTTTTTGGCTAGAGGAAGGGGCTTGGGGCCTCCCCAGGGGCAAGATGCGAAGATACTGGCAGAGGCACAAGATGGGGGAGGAGACAGGGGCCGAAGGGAAAGCGGAGAAGCAAAGGATTGCCTGGGACAGAGAAGGAAGGGGACACTCACCCAGCCTGGATGGCAGCTCTTAGGACCCAGCACTGGTGGCAAGGAGCCCCCAGCTGGGGCCTTTCATCCTCCTGCCCAGCCTGGAGCCCTGGGAAGGGGAGGGGAGATCAGAGCTAGGTGGGGAAGACTAGGAATCAGGGTCTGGGCTGAGAAGGGCTGGGGTTGCAGCTCCCGGGATCAGGCCCCTGCCCCCAACGCTCTACCAGCTGTGTGGCCGAATCCATGTTTAATGACTGTCCTCCCGGGAAACCCAGGGCCAAGGGCTTCCTGCCGACACCATCTCTGCTCCCGGCTCCCCTCAGTGCAGCCCAGAGGCCCAGCTCCTCCCTCACCCCCACCCTCAGCCGGGCTCCAACCCCGCCTGCCTGCCAGGTTAGGGATCTCACGGGTCAGGCCGCTGCCGGGATCCGGCCGTTTCCTGGTGCAGGAGCTGGGAGGGAGGGAGAGAGGGAGGAAGGGAGGGAAGGAAGGAGGGAGGAGAAAGGGGGGGCGGGAGGGAGGGCCCGGCGCCGGGTGATGATGGGGCCCAGAGATGCGTCCAGAGAGAGGGGCGGGGCTGGGACGCAGGCTTGGGAAGAGCCACAACTCAGGAAGGGAGAGGGCCGCTGGAGGCCAGGAAGAACTGGGCCAGGAGGGCATCGAGGGCCAGGCAGGGCTTCTGACCCTGGAGGCTGTGAAGAGAAGCCGGCTGGGCCTCATGAAACCTTGGAGCAAATTCAGCATTTCCAGAAGATCTCTGATAGTCCATGCACTTGTTGAACTCTTCCAGGCCTGGAGTGGGTGCCCAGAAAAAGAGGAACAGTTCACATGCTGGTGGGAACTGCCTGCCAGGTGCCTTACCCCATGGGGCTGGCAGACGTGACACGGACAGCAGACACTTCCTCTTCTCTCCGGGACCTTTAACCCAGTGGCCTCTGTGTGAGCTGGGGCTTTAGCCAAGCATCAGGGAGCCAAGACTCGGATATGCAAGTAGTTTCTGCAGGTAACTTTTTTTCATCTTCTTTCTTTCTTTTTAAATAATCAGATTGGTTTTCTTTTTAATTCTTTCTAACCAGTGCATAAACTTACTCTCACTATGAAAAAGTCATATAATAAAAAATAAATAAATAAAATTTTTAAAAAGTCATATAATATAGAAGTGTAGGGGGAGAAACACCAGTCCTCAGTCCCTCTGCCGCTCCCAAAATCCCACTTCCCTTCCTGCAAGTTGCCAATGTCAAGGCTGATGTTTATCCTTTCAGATTACATATACATACACACATACACGAATGCCTATTATTTATACCAGGCAGTATGTTTACACAGGTTGTGAAGCCACCTGACCACAGCCGATCCACACGAGGGCACCCTCAGGCATTCTGGCTGGGGCCCACTGGCTCTTGCAGCTGGCACTTCCTACAGCTCCATTTGGAGGACTCTCCAATCAAACCAAAAGAGGTAACCCAATTCTCCTTTCCTGCTGGTTCCTCTGCTTCCACCTCCAGTCCAAGTCTTGGTATTCCCATCTGCCCCAAATTCAAGAAGAAAGGTCTTTTTTGTAACAATGGTAACAACTAACACATTTTGAAGACTTATTAGGTATTAAATGCTTTCTTTACATGCTTAATATTTTATCCTCACACCAGTACTTATGTTGTGTTATTCCCATTCTATGGATGAGCAAAGTGAGGCTTGGAGATGTTAAGTAATTTTCCCAAAGCCACATACTGAGAAGATAGGCCTCAACCTAATTGTGATTTGAAAGTTTTTTTTTGTCTTAACTTTAATATTGCAGTGCTTCAAGGTCCCTCTTTGCTTCCGGTAATCAGCGTTGTTATCACACCCTTTACGAGGCCAAGCCAAATCCACACCAGTTACCAACCCAGATTCAGTTCTCCCCAATACTCTGAACCTAACATCTATTTCACTCCTTTATGACTGTATCCTTTCAACCATCTGCATTTCTTCTTTGCTCTTGGGATAGTCATTCCAGATGCCATCAGCAACACTGCCTCTTTTTTCAGGGAATAATCTAGTCCTTCATTTGCAGTCTTGATTTCTTCTAAGATGTTTACTTGAAATAAAAACTTTTAAGTCTCAGGATCCAAATAGATTTCTCTCTGCCTGCCCATTCATTTATAAACTTGGTGAGAGCAGGCACTGAATCGTACTCACTTTTATGTCCTCATGGCCTAATAGACCTTCAGTAAATGTTGACTGAAGAAATCACTCGATGCCTCTGGCCAGTTATTGAGCAAGCCCAGTCAGATGTTTGAAGATCACTGCAGTGGCTACTTAATAAACAAAGACTGTTGGACCAACACAAATTACACCAGGTCCAAGGCTGTGTGCCTCAAGGATCTTCTCAGACCAACACCACAGAGCCAAGGAATGGCAGCTCAGACAATAGAGCTCTTCCCAGAAAACCTTGGGCCATGTAGCCTGACACTGAACCTTACCTGTTCTGTCAATGACATATGGTACAAGAGCAAGGAAGACAGTTTTAAACTGCTTGACTACAACACAAATTACTGTAGCATTATTTCATACCCTAAAATATGAAAAGAATGTGTCCGTGGATTACATATGTTGTGTAAAATAAGAAACTAAAACTCAGTATCACTTTAAAAATGAGTCCTGGCTAAAGAGCATTGCTATGCTTAATACTGGAGTTAAAATGCCAACAGGAATAAATTGTATAATAAAACAGTATATGTCTCACTGTTTATTTCCAACTTAGTCACTTGTGATTTTACAGTTAAACTCCCTTGTTGCTTTAGAGATTCCATTTCTACTCTAACATTCCATATTTCAGTGCTCGGAGAAAGTTGATTATTACCATGAAATGTTTTAATCCAGTTAATATAATTAAGTGTATAAAATAGTAGACTCTAGAACGGAACTGCTGAGATTCTAATTCCAGTCCTCCAAATATTAATTTATGTGACCTTGGGCAACAGACCTACCCCCTCCTTCAATTTTCTCATCCATAAATTAGGCATAATACTCCCTCTCCTATGATGAATGTACTATATGAGTTAGTGTTTGTAAAACAATGGTACCTAGCACATTGTAAGTGCTATGTAAGATCAGTAGGGAGTTAGAAAAAAAATAAACAAAACTTCACTTTTTTCCACAAATACAGGGGGGAAAAAATGGAGTAAAAAGCAGCTCTGTGGTCTTCTTGGAGCTCTCACTGGAATTACAACTCCACAGTCCCAATTCCAAGAAAGATATGTGATGATTAATTCAATAATTTGAGGGCCTACTATGTGCCGGAGAAGGCAATGGCACCCCACTCCAGTATTCTTGCCTGGAAAATCCCATGGATGGAGGAGCCTGGTAGGCCTCGATCCATGGGGTTGCTAAGAGTCGGAGGCCACTGAGCAACTTCCACTTTCACTTCACTCTATATGCTGAAACTCACCATGAATCAGACACAGCCTCTGCTGGTCAAAGAGCTTACAGTCAGGTTAGAGATCAGAATTTTAATCCACTTTTTCTTACAGATGAGAAAACTGAGGTCCAGAGAAGTTGTGCCTTGCTCAAAGTCACAAAGCTAAATAGCACCAGAGGTGAAACAAGAAACTAGGTCTTTCCACAACTCTCAGCTCAGAACTCTTTCCAAAGGGCCACCCACCTATTTGAGCGCCACGTCTCAATTTCTATTTGAGGCTCTACCTTGCTTTTGTGACTTTCCCATATTTGCACCCACCACTACCATCCTCCCAAACCCGGAGCCTAGGGTTTAGGAAAGAAAACATTGAGCCCAGAAGAGAAAGTTATAGGCTGGGCGATTTGAACCTTCCTCTAAAAGAAAAGGTTGCTCTCTACTCCTTGCTTAACTCATCCGGTGCCGGAAAGGCTGAGGCCGTTAAAAAGAAAAAAAAAGAAAAGGAAGAGTGGTCCCACTCTGGACCGATAGAATGGAGTGCCCGCCTCCTGCTGCGGCAGCATCAATGATAGATGGAGAGTCACTTGTCAGAGGGCTGTGGGCGGGGGCCAGGCCCTGCGAGGGCCGCGGGACCGGAGGGTGAGCGCGGCTAAGCGCAGGCTCAGAGGAGACAGCCCGCAGGAGGTGATGGTCAAAGACCCTGGGAGAAGGCGGCCAGTGGGAGGAAAGGTAGTCACTTGGGGACGAGGCAGAACTGCAGAAGGTGGAGGATTCTGGAGGTGACAGCAAGGACAGCACACCACTGCGAGGGGTGGCTTAAGCTTCTGTGCGAACACCGGCAGGGTGGAGCTAAGAAAGGAGGGCAGCGCACCGGCGCTGCCGGAGGGTCCCGCCCGGGCGCGGAGGGTGCCATGTCTCGCGAGCGGCACCCCCGCACCGACATCCCCCGCAACCTGAGCTTCATTGCCTCGCTGACAGAGCGCGCCTACTACTTCAGTCAGCGGCCCAGCCTCGAGGAGGAGCCAGAGGAGGAGCCAGGCGAGGGAGGGACGCGTCTCGGGGCCCGACCCCGAGCTCCAGGTCCGAGTCGGGGGCGCCGGGCTCGTTCTGCGCCCGCCGGAGGCAGCGGGATCCGGGCGCTCCGCAACCACAGCCCTGATACCCGTAAGAGAGTGCGTTTCGCTGACGCGCTGGGGCTGGAACTGGCAGCCGTGCGCCGCTTCCGCCCGGGAGAGCTGCCCCGGGTGCCCCGCCACGTGCAAGTCCAGCTGCAGAGGGACGCCCTCCGCCACTTCGCGCCGTGCCAGCCCCGCTCCCGAGGCCTCCAGGTAGGCGGCAGAGGCACTCCGCTTCCCCAGGACTTCCTCAGCTTGGCCTCGGCGGACGTGTGGGAGTGAATTTACCTAGAAACACCCATCTCCATCCCCAACCCTGGGCTTGCTCTCGCTCACCCGCTTTGGGGTTCCCTTTGGGGAGTTCCCTAGGCCACTCTCCCTGCTGCCCTCAGACTGCCCCGACGCCAGGGTCGGCCTCCGATTGGTCCGGTGCCTCGCCCTGACCCCGCCCCCGTTCTCCCCCCGCCCCTCTCCTTCCCGGCTCCCTCTTCCCCGCTCCTCCTTTCCCTACAGGAGGCGCGCGCCGCCCTGGAGCCGGCCAGCGAGCCCGGCTTCGCCGCCCGCTTGCAGGCTCAGCGCATCTGCCTGGAACGCGTCGAGGCGGGCCCGCTGGGCGTGGCCGGGAGCGCGCGCGTGCTGGACCTGGCCTACGAGAAGCGCGTGAGCGTGCGCTGGAGTGCCGACGGCTGGCGGAGCCAACGAGAGGCGCCCGCCGCCTACGCCGGCCCGGCTCCGCACCCGCCTCGCGCCGACCGCTTCTCCTTCCGCCTGCCGGCGCCACCCATTGGAGGCGCCCTGCTCTTCGCCCTGCGCTACCGCGTGACGGGCCGCGAGTTCTGGGACAACAACGGCGGCCGTGACTATGCTCTGCGTGGGCCGGAGCACCCGGGCAGTGGCGGAAACCCGGAGCCCCAGGGCTGGATCCACTTCATCTGAGACGCAGGCGGCCGACGGCGGAAAAAAATCAAAGGCACCGGAAGGGCTGGGAGATCCCAAACATTTGCCTGAGAGGAATGGGAGAAACCGGGACTGGCGGGGAGCTGTCCTAAGGAGTCAAGTCAGGGAGGGCGAGGAGAATTGGAGAAACCAAAGGGGTGTGAAGAGTGTGTGGACTTAAAGAAAGCCGAAGAGACTGGGGTGGGTGTGAGTGGATGAACCCACGTCATAGAAAAGGGAGACGGAAGGGGTGCTGGAATATTAGAAAAGAAGCAAAAGGACGATGGTGACATTCTCTTCCGTGAGTGGGTACCGGGAGAAAGTGAGTAGGTGGGTCAGGCTTAGGTAGTCAAAGGTTGAGGACACCTCTTTGGTACTCAGGAGGTATTTTATGTGAACTAGAAACACACCGCAGTTGAAATCATTTAGATTGCTGGTTCACTCCCTCTTACTGGTCTTTGCCACCCCAGGTCCCACAGGGGACCTGGCTGTCCTAGCTTTAACTCAGCTATAATTACCTTGCTTAAGTCCCAGGAATTTGGCCATTGCTCCCCAGCCCCCGGCATTATGACAGGATTCCCTTGTCACCCCTGCAGTCCCTGGTTTCAGTCTTTGCCGACTGGCTGGGGAGTGATGGCAGGTAACAGTCGGAGCTCCTTCCTCCAGGCAGCCCTGGGGATGAAAATGAAAGCAAAACCAACTCCAGGCCTTGTAGCTAAATAATGTGGTGCCTAAGGGGTGAGTGCAATCAGGAGCTTCCAGAAAAATGCCAGCCTTACCTTTCTGGGTGCCTTCTAATGACCTCTAAGCACTTTATGGACTGTCTTTGTCAAGGGACAACACGGGGTTCTTTCTGCCTCAGAAGAAAAGGGAATCACTGACTAGCTGGATAACTTTGGGCAAGTTACTTCACCTCTCTGGGCCCCAGTTTCCTCCTTGAGAAACTGCATTTGGATTAGTTGATCTCTTAGGCCCCTTCTTGCTCTGACATTGTATGATCTGTGAGGGGAAGAGTGTGGATTAGAAGCCACATTCTCCAGCCTGCAGTTGGAGTGCTTACAGTTCAGAACACACAGTACCCCAAGCATCTGGTTGGGCCTGAGAATGGTCCTCCAGTTTTTGACACATGTTCCAGAGCCCAGGAAACATCCCATAGCCAGCTTACAGTCTCAGGATATTCCAGGGCCTCTTTCACCCCCTTGCTTTTTGCTCTTGCCCCACAGACTTCCAGCCTGGGTGCTATGAGACAGCTTGTGGGAGGTGCCTCTCGGGGAAAATGATGCTTGGGAGCCCCTAAGATGAAACAGTGTTGGGGACTTTCTTGAGGTTAAAGGATTATTGGTATGAGAAATGGAAAACTTTTCAAATAAAGAAGCAGAGCAGCTTGAAAATTAAATGGTGCCAGAAGATAGCAGTCTGTTCATACCCTGAGCAAGTGAATGGGAAAGCTGGACTCCTACCCATTCACATTCATGCTTTATGTCTCCTGGTTAACCTCTGCTGGGTGTTTTGTTTTTCCTCTCCTTTCACCCTGTTTCTTTCTTTCTTTTTTTTTTTTCCACCCTGTTTCTAAGTTCTTCTCTTTCCTTCTGCCCCTCTCACCATTTTCATTTTCTTTTAGCATGTAGGGTATTTACCTTCATTTCCTCTCCATCTGCCTCCCTCTTCATCCTTGTTGATCTCTGCTATTCCTTCTCCCTCCAGAAGAGGTTCCTTTTCTCCAAGGCCATGGTTGGTCCACTTTGCTCTCTCAGGCTCCTTCTTGACAGTCTTCTAGAAGGGAGAAGAAGCAGTTCCTGATGCTGCAGATGAACATGGAGCTCCCAGGTAACCAGCTCCCCAAACCCATTTCTTTCTGTTACTGATTTCTCAAAAATTTTTGGATTCCCCTTTTACCACTCAGTGAGAGAAGGTAGACGCATACATGCATTCAGAATAGAGTATAGGGCTTGTTTATCGTGCCCCTCCTCTCCAAAACCCTAATTCTTTAAAGAAAAAAAAGGTTAAAAGAGAAACCCCAAGTCACTCTAATGCCCATTTAAATGTTATCCTTATCTGATAACAAAGAATTTCCTGTATCTTGTGGATCACCTTCAGGTCAGAGTCCCAGCAGAGTGAGGAGAGAAAGTGTACTGGAAGCCACCAAGCAATGCACTTTTTAGTCACCAATGAAGAGCCCAGGGGAGGATAATGGAGTGGGAGACGGGGTCAAGGCTCAATGTGTAATCTCTTGCTTAATGTGTATGCATGACTGTTATCTTGTATTTAGCAATCTCAAGAGCCCACATTTACTTATCTATCCACTAAAATCTGGTGCCTTGCATGCATTATAATCCTGAAAACAACCCTATGAATTGAGTAATGTTATTCTTGTTTTAGAGAGAAAACAGTTCAGAAAAGCTCAGTAATTTATTCAAGATCACACAACTAGTAAATGGCAGAGCTAGGGTTGTGAATGCAGGAGATCTCCAGAGCCTCTGTGTATAAGCATGATGTCATAATATTTTCCTTTAAAAACAAAATTAAAACCTTGCCTTTAAAAAAAAAACAAAAAACAGAAACCCTTGCCACATCTCGTACTAGGAAAAGACGAGTTTCTAATTGTGCTCTGCCTTCCCAGCCTTCCTAACTGGCTTGGGAAAGGCAAAGCACTGAGGGTCCCAGGCTTCGTCTGCTCCTTCCAGAAGCTTGCTGCTGCTTTCTGTGACCCTGTCCCAGCTCTGGATCAGCAAGGAACCACTTCACCTGCCTGCTGGAGAATTTAGGAACCCATGTGAACTCCAGCCTTCACATACAGTGGGATTCTCTTCTGGCCCTAGGTAGTTTTAGTCCACACCTGTTGGCGTGCTGTACGCCTTCCTACCCTACCCCCCACCCCCCTACTAGCCTTGAACCGCCCAGTTGCCTAAAATTTGCACTGGAAGGATTCATGAATAGGCTAATTGCTGGATGGTCTGCTGGATGGTCGGGCTCTGGAGCCCGAGTAATACTAAGGGGATAAATGCAAATGAATTTGGGGCCAGGGAACCAAGGAGAATTCATTGTTCTTGGGCTTCATCCCTTGAGAATTACCATTGCTCACCCATTCCTGTTCTCAACTTTTCAGAGCCAAGACATGAGTCCTGTGGTTTTTCCATACAGAGTTGCCCCAGGGTAGTGGTGGGAAGGTGGTAAGCTGCTAGTCAAATCTGACATGAGAAACACTTGGAATTTGGCAGAATCTTTAGAGGTGTGTCATGTGTTAAGCACAGGACTTCCTGACCAAACAGGAACAGTTCAGGGTATAACCTGTCAGTCGTGGACTGGGAAGTGCCATATGAGAAACCAGTACCATGGTCATGGGCTGGGTCCTTGAAGCAACACAGCAGGAACACTTTTGCCCTTTCCTCTCATCCAGACCTCAGATGTCCTTCCTACATACTCTTCCTGTTCCTTTGTTTTCCTTTATGAATGTAGCTCATCATTTCTCTTCTTAATAAGCCCTAACTCAGCTTTCCAATCTCATCCTACACTCCCTTTCTTCTAACTCCTGTGTTTTTCTGGAGCTCCTCTGGATCTTGGCAATCCATAGATCACAGAATTCAGAGACCTGAAAAGGCTTGTCTTTGGAGATCTATATTCCTCTAGAGATGAGGACACAGGTCCAGAGATTAGAAGGGACCCCAGCAGGGTCAGAGAATTTGTTAGTACAACTGCAGATGGGACTTAAATCCAAGCCTCCTGACCTCATCATATTCCCAGGCTACCAAAGAGTCCTGTCTCCACAGGAACAGACCCATGATTTTTCTTGGCAAGGGATACATCAGAAGTGTTTCATTTTCTGCTTCTAGTTTCCATTCCCTACTGCATTCAGGCAGAAAGAGAAACAAAAGGGACTAGTATGTCTTAGCCTTGGCACTTGCTTCAGTGATGTTGCTGAAGAACAGTGAAGTTGCTAAAACAAACAACTGAATAATCTACCCATTGAATAGCTAACCTAGAGAGGAAATAAAAGTGTGTTCTGTGAATCCCCCCAAACCACTGTTCTCATCAGACCCTCCCTGAACCTCCTCACCCCCTTCACAGTGCAGCTTGGTTCTCTGGACCCCATACCTGCTGGTATTGTGCCTCATTTCAGCTTCCTCATGCAACTGCCTTCCCTTTTGGATAGAAGACCTCATCTTTGAAATAAATTTGAAATTTGAAAATAAAGTATAAGATGTTGAGAAGTAGTATTTTTGGGGGGCTGAGGGTGGCAAGAGACCCAGAGGCAAGATTTCTTCTTCCCTCTCACCCCTCATTGCTTGGCCATCTCATTGCTTGAGATGGGAAGGAGATAATGGAGGAGTTGGGTGACCCTGTTACGAGACAGCCCTACTGTATAACACTACCATTTGGGGCAGTGGTAGGGAAAGTTACCAGGCCTGGCACTTAGCTCCCCTCTACCCCGCGCCCAGAACCAGTTGCCGCTGCAATTAAAGAGAATAGCTCAGGTAAAAGTTTTCCCCGTTGGTGGGGTGCTCTTCTTAAGGGATCATCTAAATTACATTCTGCTCCTTAGTCAGTGGAGGGAAGATCAAAGCCCCATTGTCAAGGGCAACCCTAAAACAAAGAACAAAAGCATGATGGAGAGGAAAAGCAAGGACCTTTGTCTAATACAAAATGAAGTGACAGATTTTTTTTTTTTTTTGAAGTGACAGATATTAAAGAGAAGTAATCTTGAAAAAGACTGAGTTCTAAAATAGTATTGACTCCCACATCACCTGAATGATGAGAGTCCAATTACCCTCAAAGTAATGAAAGGACATTCCTTATAGGGAAGCCCTAGCCCTAGAATAATCAGATGCCATGTCATTACATCATAATGGCCAAGTTGTGATGTCACTGCAGAGTACCTACTCTTTAGTACACACTGTAACTGAAACCAGATATGCTGAAGGGTAGAATCGGCATGAGGAGCAGACACCCAAGGAGAGGTAACTGAGGGCTTTCCGGGGGTTCCCTCCATGGCTTATTGCCTAGGGTTGCTCCATGGCCCTAATGTCTTTCCAGACTTGTCACGTCTTAGTTTGGTAATAGGTTTGTCTGAAATCTTTTTCTGCAAACTCCTTTATTGCAGCTTTTGCTATCCTAAGTCCTCCATACTTGGCAGCTGTGATTGGTCAGCCCTCCCCTCCAGTGTTTCTCAGGACAGAGCATAGAACACTAGAGCAGGGTTTCCCTAAATGGGGCAGAAACTCACCATATCCATTTCATTCCCAGGGATAGATCCAAGTTTTTGGTTGTCTGAAGCACACAACTTTTTTCAAGAAAAATAAATACACAAGGCACAAAAGAGTGAATATATTTCAGGATGAGAAAAAATAGAAAAATTATAATATTTTAAAAGCTGATAAAAGATCACAAAATCCAAGAAAAAATGTGGCAAACCTAAATGTTTTTTCCTACAATTTTGTTTTTGGCTGCACACTCTTTGATATCAGTCTTTTAATATGATTACATATAATTTTTCCATAAAGAGGTAATTCCATCACCATAATCACTTTTTAAAAAAATTTTTTGGATAATTTAAAAACATTTCACCTTCATACCTTGTAAGTCATAATGTTCACATAATTGGGGGGTGGGATTTTTGTCAAACTTGGGAAAACCCTACCAAATTTCTTTAGTAGATGTGGTGTAAGATTTTGGAGCATTTTCAAATTTTGTAATAATGAATAACATAACTCTGAATTGTTGACAGTAGTATTCCTGGAAGCTGTATATTAGTTTGTTAGAGCTGCCATAACAAAATACTTAGACTGGGTAGCTTATAATATGGAAATTTTCTCACAGTTTAGAGACTAGAAGCCTGAGATCCAGACGTTGGCAGGGTTGATTTCATTCTGAGGTTCCTCTCTCTTGGCTTGTGGATAGCCATCTTATCCCTATGTTTTCATATGGTCTGTCCTACCTGCATGTCTGCATCCAAATTCCATCTTATTATAAGGATAGCAGTTAATACTGAATTGACTTACTCTAAAGACCTTATTTTAATTACCTCTGAATAGACCTTATTTCCCAATATGGTTACATTCTGAGGTACTGGGAGTTAGGGCTTTAACAGGAATTTTAGGGGGACACAGTTCAGCCCATAACATTATAAATACTAATAACTGTTCAAAGAAGTAACTGCAAACCACAGATGTGTAACTCCTAAACCCAAACTAAATGTATTCCCAACTCAACTTCATTAGTCAATCCCTAAATGCCCATGGCCTCTTCATTGCCATTGGACAAAAAGAGAAGGGTAATAGAGGGGAAGTCAGAAAGAGACATCAATCTTGACCAACTGCAGTTTGAATTTTTTTTTTTTTTAATTCTACAAAAACCTATTAGCACATTGCTGAGACTCTTCCAGTGCTTTGGAAGAGATCTATGCAAGAGAGGACTCTTAACTTCCTCCAGCTTCCTTAGCTATTGGGTAATTGTGTATCTGGTCGGTCCTGCTAATGTTACTGAGCCATGCAAAGGGGGAGGGAGTTTTCACTAAAGATTGAGAATGGCGTTGATTCTTCAGCACTAGTTCCTGGGAGAGCTGGGATGATCACTGACTTGCTAACTTCCTTCTCTGATAATGTCAAGTCTGGACCTCTTCCTCTCTTCCACTCCCCTACTTCAGTCCACTCCATCATCTTAAGTGTAAGGGTGAAACCCACATAAAAGAGGAAGTCTTCAGCCTGCTTTCCAGAACCAGGGCACAGGAATTTCTTTCCTTGGATTTCTTTCTTCTCTTAAATCTTGAGTCTTTGACTCTTCTGCATACTCCTAACTTGGGAGTGTGTATCATTCTGAGACAAATGTGACTGAGTTGTCTACATTTCATAATTCCCAGCCCATGATCTGTGATGCCCAGAAGGACTGACTTAACCCCCCAAGAGCAGCCACTAAATTTTCACAGTTCCTGCCTGGCTTTCTAGCCAAACTGAGTTCTTCCCAGTCAATATCCAGCCTCATTGTTTGGATTAAAAGAATGAGCTCTCCATTGACAGCTGAGGGTTGTCACTGCCTAAAATGTTTTGCTTTTCCCTTTCTTCCTTACAAACAAACCATTGGGATTATTATAATAAGTCTTGAGTTAGGTCTGTATATAGCACCGGTCTTGGCTTAAATCCTAAGTGATCAAAAGTTTCTAACTCTAAAGCTGAGAAGATTATTTCTGTTGCTTACTCCTATCATGTTTTTAAGGGATACTAGTTTGAAGGGCATGGCCCTTAGGAGTTGGGATTGTTACCAAATGTATTGAGAGAAGGGAGGAAGGGGCAAATGCAGAGTCAACAGAAAAAAGCTGAATTAGAGATACACTTCTCATGCTTGGCAACCTTTAAAGAGCTCTAGACCTTAGTGTGGAGCAATGAAGAATCAGAAGTATCAGTTATGGTTGACTTTTTAGGGGGTATATGGAGTGGCAAAATCTGTGGAATACAGGGCACCCATCTGAAACTGTTTTATAAGTTATTGTAAGTATATAAGCTATTGTGACCTAAATAAACAAGAGAAGACTATCATGAGAACAGAAGGGTCACTTCATAAAGTATTGTTCCCAAGTTTTGGTCAGAAAACTAAGAATCCTAACTATACAAACTTTTGGCCCAGAATTTTGGAGTGTGTGGAATACTGAGTCGGTGGGAAGCCCTTTTATTTTAATCCCTTTCTTGACAGCAAAACCAAGGCCCCCCCAACATGAGGCACAGCTCCAGGCAGTCTCTACTAGGGCAGAGGAAGGGCCTGGGGAGCCTGGCAAGACCTAATGAAGTGACCCCCTCTAGAACTTCATCTTTGAGAACACCTGTCTGGTGACAACTAAACCCGGGAAGCGGCGGAAGGTGCCAGGCTGATAGGATCCTCATTTTTCTGGGTGGCCAAGACACTTTATCCATCTGGAGAACAAGTTAACGGTTGCTCTAGGCGCTTCGTTTACAGTTGACGCTGCTGACGGCGGTCTGACCCTAGGCTGGGAACGCTTGTCTTCTTGTACGAGGCTGGCAAAGGGATACTGAAAACGTCTTCCTTCCGGAGGAAACAAATGGGGAGTAGTTGTAGGCGGTTTGGACAGTTCAGCAAACTGCTTTGAATTTCTTGGGGAATTCCAAGAGGAACATAGCCCAGCGTACCCCCAAGATCCGGCGTCCACAAGGCGAGGGTGGGAGGGGGTACTGTTCACGGCATCCTAGCCCGGGGGGACATCTTCCCTGACCCATGTAGCCAATCGGCATCCCGGCTGAGGCCCACGCAGCCAATAGCCGACTTCAGCCGAGACCCACTCAGCCAATGGCCGGCCCAGCCCATTCCGCAAGGGCCCGCCTGCCTGCGCCCACCAATCAGAACTCCGGCCACCTTGGCACCACCCCTGGAGTCCACCCCACCCATCCGCCCCGCCTCCAACTCGCTGGAGCAGGGCTGGGCTAGACGGGCGCGCTCTCGGGGGCGGGGGGGGCAGTCCCGGTCCTGGCCTTCCGCGCGGGTGGGCTCGGAGCAGGCCGCGCCGGGCAGCAACCCCACTCTCACCCCGGAGGCCCCCTGCCCTTTCTCCCCCTTTCCCCCCGGCCCATGGTGCGAGGCTGGGAGCCGCCGCCCGGGCTGGACTGCGGTGAGTGATCCCCAGCCCTTTCGACTTCCCTTTCCAGTCCCTGTTACGATCTCCGACCTCCGGAGCCCCATCTCCGCGCTGGGGGGAGGAGGAGAATTCTAGGTTCGAAGTGGTCCGGTTCTCTCTCCATTCTCCTCAGGACTTTTCGGTTCCCTGTTTTAACTGGGGGAGGGTGAGTGGGTGTGTAGGAGGAAGGGAAGGCCGGGTTGGGACGCCCTTGGCGAGGGGAGGGTTGAGATTTGCCTGCTCCCTGGGGCTCATCGCCCCAAGTGCAGCAACTTTTTGTTCTCTGACCCAGTTTGGAGCCTTCTAGACTGCCTGCGAAATGGAGGATAGGAGAAACGTTTCCTTCCCAGGCCTCCCCTCCTCCCCTCCATGACTGCCTCCTGGCGACTTCAACACACGTACAGAAACCTGGCCTTATTCCTGGGGTGCATGGCCTTTGGGAATGAAAGATTTGAGAGAAACTGCCCCTTCTCACCCCTGCCCAGCCATACCCAGAAAACCAACCAGAAAAGTGAGAACCTGAGTTCTCAGAGGTTCCTGGTGTTGCCAGTCTCTCTAATCAAGAGACTTCTAAACTGAAAGAAGACTCAAGCTGAGACCTATTTGGTAATGTGGACCCAGATGATATATTTTATATGAACCCTCTTCTCACCATATATTTGAAGGGCTTTTTATGCTGAGGATAGGTAGGTGGCAGTAATTAAAAGTAAGCTAGTTAAAGTTAGGAATTTTTTAAATGATGCATACATATCCTAAGCATTGTCATTAAAAGTATTCATCTCACCAATTTCTTGGGTAAGTGTCCCAGCGTTTTCTTTGTGTTGCTGATTGGCAGTCCCAATTGTCTTTCTAATATCAACTACATAAGCAAATCTCTAATCTGGCTGCACCCTGAGAACTTTTTAAAACTGCTTACATCTGCCCCAGTCCAGGCTAACTAAGTCAGAAGGAGGAGGTGGATGCTGTGGGTTAAGTTTCCCCCGGTAATTTTTCTAATGTGCAGTCAGACTGGAGCCACTGCATCATCATCTGTGATTTCCAGGTTTGGTTTCTTTAAAGTGGAGTCTGAATTTAAACACTTTTGAAGCAATATGAGTGCAGAATACTTCTGAGATTTTAAAGTCTCCTGCCCCTCCAGTCTTTTACAGTTTTCTTGCCTACTCCCAACTCAACAATTTTTTTTAAATGTGCATTTCTTTGTATTATGTCTTTCCAAAGCATTTGACTTTTTTTTTCCCAAAAACAATTCTTAATGCACTAATTTTCATAGGTTTACAGAATGTTTAATTATATAGAGAAAAACAAGGGGCATAAGCAGGTTTGGAATCACACACAACTGGCCGCAGCACATAGGGCAGCTGAAGGAAGCAGATGACTGCCATGCTAGACTAGGCTACTAGCCTCTAGTGTCCAGTGCACTGTGGGTATTGATTATGTCATCCAGTGGGGGTCAGTTAAACCAAGCCCCTGGGCCAACTGAACATCTTTTGCTTCTACTCTGTTCAGCTAATAGCACTAGTACCTAGTCCCTTCTAAACTAATTTACATTCTCTTTCAGCCTTCCAACCACTCGTTCCATTCATTCATAAACTGTTTTCTTAAAGCAGCTACGACCATTGCCATTGTTAAGTTGGGAGGACATAGGACAGAGTTTCTAACAGGGGCTTCTGGACAATCGGTGAACCCCCTGAGATTATAATTTATCATCTGTAAGTTTGAATGTTGGGGGGGGGGGGGTTGGTGCGAGGTAAGTCACAACTTTCTGAGAACCTTTAACTTCTTATTTTCAAAGAGATTCATGATCCAAAAAGTGAGAAGCACATGAATTGAGTATCACTAAATGTCCTTTAAGGCCCCGAAAACAATAACCAAAACACATTTCATTTAGAAACTCTTCAGTTCTCTGAATAAAGACTTAGGGAATTTAGCAGGCTCATATCTGGTCTTCACTTGAACTGTCACCTGTTTTAACCATAAGCCTAGGCTCAAGATTTTTGTTTTTGGCCACACCATGCCGCATGTGGGATCTTAGTCTCCTGACCAGGGGATCACACTCATGCCCCTTGCAATGCAAGTGTGGAGTCCTACCCACTGGACCACCAGGAAATTCCCAGCCTAGGCTCAAGTTCTGAAGATCTCTTTCTCCTAGCCTCATGTGAACACCTACACTGGAAGTTTAAGGCAGCCCATTAATTCTTTTCTGCCTTTTGTCCAGGGGTATGGAAAAGCCCAAAGGGAAATAAGGGTGTTACCCTGACTCTGTACTTCTTATTAGTGACTTTTAAGCAGCAGCAGGGCATATCTGGCATGGTTACAAATTTAGTAAATTCAGAATTGATAGTACCACCACCACTGACACCTCTGCCCAAAGGAATCATTATTTCTCCAGCTCTGATTTCATTCTTTTTCTACTTTCTCCAAATGAGGCACAAGGTCACAAGGTGCTATAGTGTCTTCACTGTGGTTTTGGTTACTGTAGGATCTACCCTCCTTGTCATAGTTCTCATGAGCCACTCCCTGGTTCTAGTTTCCCCCTATGTCAAAGCCAGATTCTTCCAGGGGGCACCAGCTCTACTGCTGTGTCCTAATTTTAAGGCACCATTCTGTATCAAAAAGTCTTCCACAACTTGTGTTTTGTGTTATTGAAGAAATGTGGATATATGCAGTACACCAAATACGACCTTTGCAGTACTGTTATACTGAACTATCAAGCCATGAGAATCTTAAGGATAGCAGACCACACGAATGAAAGCAACCTGTTTCCTTGTAGGCTTATAGCTGCACCTGCCTTATTCCCTGTCTAGCAGTCTTCATCCTCACACTGGACTGCTTTATTCCTTGTGCTACCTTTTCCTCACATCTAAACTGTTACCGTGACCTTAAAAAACCAGGGCACAAATAAGGTTGAGTGGGTGTCGAGCATTGGATCAAGTATTCTCCAGTTTAGATGTGGTGGTGTTCCTGGTGGGCCACAACTTCCAAATGGTGGTTTTAAGTACCTGGCCACGTAGGCACTTCCTCACAGCCACTCAGCTGTGTCTTGAGAGGAACTTGTTGGGTAGCAGCAATCAAAAAGGATTTATACCTAAATTATAGATTCAGTTCTAAAGCAGTCATTTTGATACTTTTTAAAAAAGCAGCAAAATCCTTTCTGGAATTATATCCAACTCCCCAAATATAAAAAGTACAAAATCAGATACCCTGGTTGCCCCCACTGTTCATTAGAATTAGGACTCTGCAATAACAGATTGGATACAGTAATTTAAAATATTCCATCTTTGTCTCACTTCCCCTGTTGTCTAGGAGGAGCATTACCTTATATCAGAGTCATCCCATGAGGCTGAAGCAATGACAAAAAGTCTTAATTTATTGAGCCTTTAGTATAGGCATCATATCAGTTGCATTTTTTTAGTCATAACCTTACAAGGTAGATACTGTTATGACCTTTTATTCTGATGGGAAACTAAGGCTTAGCGAGCACTCTCGGGAGTGGTGAAGCTGTGATTCCTCTCAGATCTGTCTCACCCCAGGCCTCTACCTCTAACAGCTCTAGGCCCCGCCTATACGACACCGAGCACACAGTAGGTGCTCTGTAAAAACATAACTTTACATACACTCAACATTATCTTCAGTTTTACACATGAGGAAACTGAGGGTCCTGTAAGCTCAGAACTGGGATTCAAACTTCCTATGTAATGCAGGCCTTAATCACATTCGTATCCACTATGCCATGCTGCCTCCACTTACCCTCTGAAGGTTCTCACACTGCATTGCATTCACGGTCTGCATGGCCTTCAGTTTAAGATTTTCTTGTTAAAAGGGAATGGTGACATGCATCATAATGCTGCCGAATTTTTCTGTTCATCATATAAAATTTCCAATATTACACTGCTCTACCTGTAACTTTTACATAGGCATGTTGTCCTCTCCGTAATGTATTAGAAGGACTATTTGTAAACTCAGATGGGAGTCCTCGAAAAGTAAAGGGTGACAGATAATGTTAGTCTCTAATGCCCACACAGGGAACATTTAACAGGGAGTCGAGTTAAAACTCTGTCACCAGGGAAGTCCCTGGTGGCCCAGTGGTTAGGACTCAGCACTTCCAATGCAGGGGGCATGGGTTCAATCCCTGGTTAAGGAACTAAGATCCCCACAAGCCACGTCGCAAAAAAAAAAAAAATTGGGGCCCAGAATTATTCTGGGAAACAGCTTGGGCAGGTTTCCAGGAATGAAGCATAGTCAGAGGCTTTCTCTGCGGTCCCCACACCCATGTTGAGCCTGGGAGCCCTGGTGCCACTGGGTAGCCTGCAGGACAGTTTATAATGAGCCTGCCCACCTGGTTCCAAGAAGAAAGCTGGACTGAAGAGATAAGAGCTGCAGGGCTACCGCCGTGTGTGTGTGTGTGTGTGTGTGTGTGTGTGTGTGTGTGTGTGTGTGTGTGTGGGCGGGGTTGGGGGCGGCTATTAAGGTCTGAGGGAGCTCTCTAGGCTCCCTGGAGAGAGACTCAGCAGTTGGAAGAGACAAAGGCTGGGGAAGAGGGGAATAACCTTTGTTCTGTGGATGTCTTGGGGAAGGAAACATTCACCTCCCTCTACCCTCTCCGGACCAAATCCAAGGGGAGCTCCATTCATCCCAGATCACTGACCCATCTCATCCTACTGAGACTTAGAAAAAAATAAAACTATCAATCACCTTCCCCCAACACTCCCACCAAGAAGAAAAGAAAAGGGAGCTGGGTAGAGGGACAGTGCTGTGTTCTACCTTCTCTACCTTCTAGATTGTCACAAATTGTATTCCTAATCTTTCCACATTCTAGAGAGAATCTAGAGATAACTCAAGAAATAATCTGTTAGGAGCTAAAGTGTTCTGAGATTACATACATCTCTTTGGGTTTCTAGGTGAGTCTTCATTCTGTCACTCTTGCTGCATGAACTTAGAGGGTGAATTTGAATGGGAAAGATAAAGGCTCTAAGGATGTTTTCCTTTTTTTTTAACCTCAGAAGTCAGATTATTATCCTGGTGACAACACTCACTAGTTTTGTGACTTGGAATAATTTAACTTCTCTGGACTTTGGTTTTTTCATACCCAGGGGGAATTATAGCAGGCTCTGATTATTTATAAGGTTATGAAAATTGAGAAATTGTTAAGCACTTTAAAAGCAATCCAGCACAGTACACATAGAAAATTGTTTTTGGAGTCCAGCGTTTTGTTTGGTAGAAATTGAGCAATGGCCTGAAAGGGGAACCCCAGTGATTGAGCTGTTTCTCTTCTTATTACAGCTATCTCTGAAGGGCACAAATCAGAAAGCACCATGCCTCCTAATAAAGAGGCCAGCAGTCTTAATAGCTCCCCTGCGGGCCTCATCTGCCTCCCTCCAATCTCTGAGGAGCTACAGCTTGTGTGGACCCAAGCAGCCCAGACCAGTGAGCTGGACAGCAATGAACACTTGCTCCAAACCTTCAGCTACTTCCCCTATCCCAGTTTAGCAGACATTGCCCTTCTTTGCCTACGCTATGGGCTGCAGATGGAGAAAGTCAAGACTTGGTTCATGGCCCAGCGCCTTCGCTGTGGCATTAGTTGGTCATCTGAAGAAATTGAAGAGACTCGAGCCCGAGTAGTCTACCATCGGGACCAACTCCATTTCAAATCCCTTCTCTCTTTTACTCATCATGCAGGGCGGCCCCCAGAGGAAGTGCCTCCTTCTCCTGTGCCACCTCCGGAACAAGTTGGTCTTGGAATAGTGCCCCTGACTCTTAGCGAGCCCACCCAGATGAAAGGATTGAAGGTAGAGCCTGAGGAGCCACTGAGTCACCAGAAAGCAAAGGAGCCCCTGATGGTGCCTGGCAGTGGGGCATTCCCCCACCAATCGCAGTTTTGGCAGGATCATCAATGCAGTGGCCTCTCTAAGGAGCAGGCAGGCAGGGGTCCCGACCAGTCACACAGCCTAGGTACTGCTTCCTGGAACCACTCCACAGCTGTCCAGCAGCCCCATGCTCGGGATAAGCCCCCACCCATCTCATTACTTGCCAGTAGTTGTAAGAAGGAGTCAGCATCTAATATGACTCCTCCTTCCTCTACCTCTTCTTCCTCTTTCCAGGGACTGGCTAATGGAGCTCCGGCCACCTCTAAGCCCCTGCAGCCACTGGGCTGTGCCCCACAACCACTGTCACCCAGTGAACAGGCACTACCCCCACAGCTGGAGCCAGCCTGGCCCCAGGGGCTGAGGCATAACTCAGCATCAGGTAGGGTTGGCCCTGCAGAGTATCTTTCCCCAGACATGCAACGCCAGCGAAAGACCAAGCGCAAAACCAAAGAGCAGTTGGCTATCCTCAAATCGTTTTTTCTACAGTGCCAGTGGGCACGGCGTGAGGATTACCATAAATTAGAGCAGATCACTGGTTTACCTCGGCCTGAGATTATTCAGTGGTTTGGTGACACACGCTATGCCTTGAAGCATGGGCAACTAAAATGGTTTCGGGACAATGCAGTACCTGGTGCCCCTAGCTTCCAGGATCCAGCAGTTCCCACACCACCACCTTCAACCCGCTCCTTGAATGAATGGGCTGAGACACCACCTCTGCCAAATCCCCCACCCCCACCGGATATACGACCCTTGGAGAGGTACTGGGCAACCCACCAACAGCTCCGGGAAAGTGATATCCCTCAACTGAGTCAGGCATCAAGGCTTAGCACCCAGCAGGTACTGGATTGGTTTGACTCCCGATTACCTGAGCCAGCTGAAGTGGTGGTCTGTCTAGATGAAGAGGAGGAAGAGGAGGAGGAGGAACTGCCAGAAGATGATGAGGATGAAGAGGAGGAGGAGGAGGATGACGATGATGACGATGATGTGATCATCCAGGACTGAGTGGGAGGCTGGGGGAGGGGAGGTCTGTTACTAAAAGACAAACCAACTTAGTAACTGTTTCAACAAAGAAACCACTTTTTTTTTTTTAACTTACCTTGTGGCAAAGAACTGAAAAGCTTTGTGTTCTTGAGTGTGGGGGACAGGGATACAGTAAGGGTAGACCAGAAAGGATGACCATGGAGTACAGAATGAAGTGGGGATCGGATGGGCAGAAATCTAGGCCTCCAGTCTCAATGAGGGGCTTGCTACGGGTCTGGGAAAAGGCTCTTGCTCTTCTCGTATCCCTGTTCTTTCCCCTTACTGTTCTACAAAGAGGCGAGGCTTTGGCCCACGGCCATGGAGTTCTGGAAAGGAGTAAAGTTTCTAATATGACCCCAGTCCCAACATTTTCCCTGAATATAAGGCTGCCTTGCACCCCATTTCTCTCTGAGCACAAGTTCATGCATAATGCAGCTAAGAATCTCAGTTATGTCCCAGTCAATCACAAATACTTCCTCTCCTCATACCAGCTTGACTTTATATGTTTTCCTGCTGCTTTATTGAATCACACAGGGAGCAGAATGTTTTCATTTCTGATACTGGGACCACTATGCCTTGTACCTTTCCAAAAATCCCCATTCTGTTCACTGTTTGTCTCAGGGTAAATCTTCCCCCCGGAGCTTGTGAAAAAGTTTAATAATTGGGTGGAGAATAATTTAGGCTGGATATTTATTGGAGGTGGGAATTAGTAGAATTATAGATTACAGAGGGGTAGAGGAGAGGGAATGGTATCTGCTGTTCGGAAGGACAGTACAGATAGATTCCAGGTTTGGTTTTACAAACCTGACACTCCCTCCTGCCTAGTTTGACAGAAACCGATTTTTTAATCTTTTTGGTGTTGGTTTAATTTGTGTCCAGAAAAGAGACTTTACCCCCTGTTTATAATATCTGTCTTGGGGACAGAAGTCCTTATGTTTTAGAGTGGTTTTCATCCGTTGGGGTCAGATATAAAGATATCGGTGGGTTAACCATCTAGAAATAAAAGAGTGGAAGCCCCAAATTGCTAGACTAATAATAAAAAGGCCAAAAATAAAATTGTTTCTCTCTCCACTTCGCCACTTCTCTGGTTTAAAGATTAATGGAACCAAATCCATCCACTTTCTGATTTAGCATACTTTTTATTTTCAAAGCAGCAGGATATACTGAGGTAAAGTAAATGAACAAAACTTGAAATAGATCAGTACCTATTACTAGGCCGATTGCTTTCTGCACCTGCTACAGCGTAGGCTCTCTCTCAGAAGAGGGGAAGTCTAGAAATGCCTTTAAAAATAAGTTCAGTTTCAGAAAGGGTAATGGGATCCTATTCAGCTACAAGCTCACTCCTAAGACCCAATTATCTCTAGCGGATGCTACCTTCAGTTTTCCAATATTTTCACTTGAGGTATACCTGCCTATGGCCCACCCAGTTAATCCTTCATTTCTACCCCTTAATACCCAAAGAAGAATAAATGTTTGATCTCAGTGGTAGTGTTCTTTGCTTATCCCACCATTTGAGAGTTTATGACGTCAACAGAGTTACAGTAGCAATAAAAGGGCATCCCCTTTGTTTCATTATCTGTATACTTTAGTAGGGCTTCAAGCCTGTGTCTCCAACTGTTACCAAACAGAAAGAAAGGAAAATCAACATATTTAACAGGATCTAGATACAGAGGAAACAACAGGGAAGTAGAAAAATTATAATAAGGCCAAGGAACAGTTATTGCTTGTTAACACTGACAATGAGAGAATATATACAGAGCTAAAAAGTGAAATCCAGAAATAAAACATAGTTAATAAGTATATCACCCCACCCCACCCCACCCCCCAATGATACCAAGAACTGTTTTTATAACCTTTGTTTCAAGTTGCAGGAAATAAAGGAGCTATCTGTATCCTGTGAGAGAGATAATAAACATCTTCCTGAAGGACTGACCTGATCACTTTCATAGGAAGTAATACAGTGTGTGTAGGGTAAAGGTTGAGAGAAAGTACAGAATGAAACGTGCATAGGCAGGGGTACATTTTCCAAGGGCATCACACCTAAGTGAGTATGAGATGCCTCTGTCCATCCTTCAGCAGTATGCATAGGTGAGACCTTGAAGGTGGTCTATCTGGGAGTGTTCCATGCTTCTCTCCCTCTGGCTAATCCCATCTGCCTCTGTTGGTAGAGATTGCAGCACAGGACAGGAAGGCAGTTAAGGGCGTTTATAACAAAAAAGGGCAAGTAAGGCCCTTTTAAGTCATTATATGAAGTTTAGCATGACGGTAAACCACTGCTGTTGCTTCCCCATAGTTTTCTTCATTGCAAGAAAACTTATAAGATTTGATACGTCCAGTGTGACAAAGGCTATGTCGCTACTTATGAAACTGGAATGTTTCAGTTGGTTTATGGTGATAAGGTAGAATATTTCTGAAATCAAACTGGGGAAACCTGGAACATGACTACCATACCCAGAGACCATTACCAGGGAGGCAGAATTATGTCTCTGGGTAAGTGGTACTTTCTTCAATAACTCTTAATACAAAAACAGTAATATATATATATAAACAGTAATATAATGAATTCACACATACCCATCACCCAACTTCAACAGTTAACTCATGGCAAATTTTCTTTGATTTCTGCTCCCTCACACTACCCTGCTCCACTAGATGAAGCTAAAGCAAAACTAGGACAATCATTTAACTTTCTATCTATAAATATTTTAGTATGCATCTCCGAAAGATAGACTTATTTTTTTTAGACTTTTAAAAAACAACCATAACAACAACTGTGTGACATAATTTTTAAACCCCAAACCAGGAGGCCAATCTGACAGTAGAATAGAACCTTTGAAACTAAGACCACTCTGAAAAATTGTGTGCATATGATTACCACACTTGAAATCCACCTCCCTCTTCACTTGTTACATTTTATCACCTTAACATTTAGTGATAAATGAGGCATTTAGTGTGCAGGCCTAACTGAGGTTTTCATGTGCAGACAAGTTAGACCAGCTAGGGCTCACCTGTAGGAGTGGTAGCTGGAAACCAGGAAGGCTCTCCAGTGTGGTTCTGTTCTGCCTCTGACCTTAAGGATGGAATGGAATGATGAAAGATAACTTCCTAGAGCATTTCCTCAGTATTGTTAATTATGGATCAGGTTAAATAAGTGGTTCTTAATCTGTAGTACACTACTCAGAAGAGAAAAGGCTGTTAGCTAAGTAACTCAAGAGTTATAAGGTTCATTATTTTCCTTTGAGGATGGGGTACTGACATGGAGGTCTGAGATTTGAATTTAACTATGAAGAGAAAGATGTAAAGACAACATCAAGATTTTGGTGAGCTATGGAAGATGACAGACCCTTATCACAAGGACTGGTAGCAGAAATATCTTAGAAACATGAGGAGAAAAAAGATGCTGGTTTATCATTTTAATTGAGCACTGAGCCCCCAGCAGTGTTCCAACATAGGGATCTCAAAAGCAACAGAAAAAAAAAAGCCAGTTTAGTATTATAGACCAATCTTCTGGCTAAATATTACAGCAGACTTTGATTCCTGGGATAAGATGAGTGAAAATTAGGCACAATCCAAAGCCTGCCTTCACTGTGAAGGAAATGGTCTTAAAGAAAATTAAGGGGGACAACTTGAGACAATGCTTTTCCAGGGTCTAGAATAACATGTTAAAAAAAAAAACTTCTTTTCACCTTGAAATTGTCATTTTAGTATATATGTTGATAGTTGAAGCGCCACTTCTTTAGGAATGTTAAATTAACTTACCTGAATTATTAGGGGTGAAGACTCTTGTGTGACCTGAATCCCCACCATTTAGAGATGGTCTGAAAGAAAAGACCCCCTGTCCAGAGGAGACAGATGAAGCTCTAAAGAGGGGAAACAAGAGCATCAACAGAAAAAAGGAAAAGTTAAAGTAAAAAGCATGTGTAAAGGAAGAGCCTACACATTTAAGCCACAGAGGAAATAAATCCCCTGCTTGCAACTGCGAATACAATTAAATAATTTAGATATGTATTAGACACAGTACTATTCTATCTTCTCTTTTGTTTACAAAGTAGATTATAAATTTCAGTAGTACAAGTCAGTGGAGAAATAACTCCAGGGCTGCTGGCAGAATGTCAGTGGGAACAGATCTCAAGTGAAAGGAAACAGTATTACTTACCTATAAGATAGGCTGTGAGTAGAAGCTGGTGAAGGGGTTTCTGGGAAGCATAAAAACGAGTCTGTGAGATAATCTATGAACTGAGAAGAGATCCAGATATTCTGGGGACCAGGGTAAAGGAACTGGGGATCAAAGATTTTCAGTATATATGTTAGGCTTTGGGGCTAAAGGCAAGTGAAAAAGCCCACAAATCACCTTGCAGTGAATCATTATGGAATTGTCTTCTCTCTTTCATGAGTTTGTAGGCTAGGATCATGAGCACACTGCTCTGATGTGCTCTAATGTATCTGTGCCTTGATTTCCCTCTAAGTTGAAGATTACCAGAAAGAATGTCTAAACACAACGGGTCATTAAATTGGTGACATCAATAAAAATGGCAGAGTAAGGACCTCCACAGAGTCTCTCCATAAAAGGAATGAGAAATCTGGCAAAAATTGTCAGTCGACTACTTTCAGAATTATGGAAATTAACAAAGCATCTTTAACAATCTGGGGAAAGTTTATTCCAGAAAAATAACTGAATGTGAATGAGAACAGTGAGCTTTGGGACATTTTAACTTGCCCTAGTCCCACTTTTCCCTCTCCAGCTCAATGGAAGCATTGAAAACCAAGTCTGGCCGTCATCATAGGGGATGGAATGGGGTTAGAACTCTTTCAAAGCCTCATTCCCAGAAAACTGTCATTACTTCACCTGTCTAGCAGTTCACTGGAAGATTTCACTTGCAAGGCTGCCTTTATTTGACCTGACTTGATGCCAAACTGGAGTGCGGCAGTCCATGAGGTCGTAAAGAGTTTATGACTTAGCAACTGAACAACAAAGAGCCAAACTTACTAGGACTTGGAGCTTAGAGTTCACCAAGTGTGAAAAGCCTTTCTCCCAGGAGTGTTTGTTGCAAACAACTAGAGGTATTTGTTTAGGCTGCCTGAGGTGACTATCAATTGGAACAAATAAAAGTCTAATCAAAAAGCATCAAAAGGAAGCTATGGAATGAGTTGTCTTCAGGGACTTTGAAAAGGAACAACAGGTTCTTGGGAATCGAGGCCATGTGCACAGGGCTATATGCACGCTCAGAAAAGACCTAAAAACACCCTAAGCTGTCATCCTGGGCTTACGTAGAGGTCACACAAGCAGAAAGGGAAGGCTACAGCACAGGAGTCAACTGCCTGAGTGTTGAAAGTGCACCTCAATATACAGTCCTTTAGCACACACTGAGAGTTACTGGTATCAGGTGTTTAAGGAAATCTCTGTCCAATCATTAGCTGACCACTAAGCTAACTGAAAAGAGACTTCAGTGGCCACACATGACAAAGAAAACAGATTTTACAGAATTAGTTTTAGAAAGTCACTAAACAACAATGACAAACAACAACAAACGCTGGGAGGCAAGGGAGTACCTGATTCTTAGGGTTGCCGTGTTATATAATTTAGCTGTCTAGTTTTCAACAATTATAAGGCATGAAAGAAACAAGAAAGTAGAACCTACAAAAGGAAAGGAAAAAAGCAGTAGAAACTGTCTTTGAGGAAGCCTAGATACAATAGGAGGGCATGGCAACCCACTCCAGTATTCTTGCCTGGAGAATCCCATGGACAGAGGAGCCTGTGAGCTACAGTCCATAGGGCTGCAAAGAGTTGGACATAACTGAAGTTACTTAGCATGCACACGCATGCACGCACGCACAGATACATTAGACTTTTAAGGGAAAGCCTTTAAACCAACTATTTTAAACATATTCAGATAACTAAAGAAAACCATGTCTAGAGCACTAAATGAAAGTATGACAATGGTCTCACCAAATAGAGAATACTAAGTAAATATAAAATTCTGGAATTGATAAGTAAAAGCTAACTAAATTGTAAACTTCACTAGAGATATGAGCAGGCAGAAGAAAGAGTCAGCAAATTTGTTTGTTTGTTTGTTTGTTTTTAAGAAAAGCAAACATTTACTTCAAACTGCAGTATAGGCTTTTCAATCACAAAAAGAAAGAAAAGAACAGTGATCTGACAGTGGTCACATCCTGTGCAAAAAACGTGAGATACAAAAATGATAACACAAGGTAGCTGAACTGCTTACACTGCAGGGAAAAGGACATACAGTAGCTGAAATATGGCACTCCTGGGAATTAACTTCCTAAACCAAACAGAATGCCTTTGAAATGATTAAATTTATTTGTGTATTAGTAAGAAAGCCCCACCACCATAAATAGTACAATATTTAAAAATTTATCTTCTCTCTGCTCCTCTCAACCTTCTTGATGATTTCTGCCACTATGCACACCGACGAGGTGAGACCCAGAAGAAACAGTAAGTCCAGTATACTTAGGCTCTCAGTCTGAAAAACTTTCTGAAGTGGAGGAAAGTAAATAACTAATAACTGTCCCATGATGGATCCAAGAACTGCATAGCAAAACATTTTATTACTTCAGAGTCCAATCTCAAACACAGATTTGGTCTGCGATCTGGAACTCAGTGCATTGAACATGTCAAAAAACACAAAGCACGTGAAAGTCATTGTTGTGTCCCAAGGTGTTATCACATTGTCTCGCAGCTCCCGCCAGAAGACAAACAAAGTCCCACAAACAATGATTATTGAGGAAACAAGTATTTTAAGTATCAGGTTTTTGGTCAAAATGCTGTCTTTCCAGTTGCGTGGAGGTTTACGAATGACATCTTTATCCACTGGTCCTACTCCAAGGCTCTGAGCTGGAGGTCCATCCATAATAATATTGATCCACAAAATCTGCATGGCATTGAGAGGATTGGGAAAGTTCATTAATGTAGCCAGTGAGATTAAAGTTAATGCTGCTATACTCATGCTCAGCTGGAATCTAACAAAATTTTTAATGTTATTATAAATCCCTTTACCCTCTTCAACTGCAGACATGATGGTTTGGAAATCATCATCCACCAGGATCATGTCAGCTGCCTCTTTGCAAACATCTGTGCCAGTCTGACCCATTGCAACTCCAATGTCTGCAGCCTTCAGAGCAACTGCATCATTTACTCCATCTCCTGTCATGGCCACAACCGACCCGTTCTTCTGCAGAGACTTGATAATTTTCATCTTATGCCTTGGGCTAGCTCTGTAAAACACTGCAACCTTTGGCACTATTTGTGAAAGTTGCTGGACATCCATTGCATCTATTTCTTCTCCTAAGACTGACTGGGAGGTTTTGGAATATAATCCCAGACGACGAGCGATGGCAACTGCAGTCTCCTGTGAGTCTCCAGTAATCATTTTTATTGACACTCCCGAGGCAATGAGTGTTGTAATAGCTTCTTTCACACCAGTTCTAGGAGGATCAATGATTCCCACCAGACCAAGGAACGTCAGTTGTCCCAATTCAGGACCAGAAGCCAAAGCAAGAACTCTGAGCCCTGCAGAGCCCATCTGGGCCTTCTCCTGCTGGTACAGATCTCTCTGATGCTGGGTGAGTGCCAAGGTCTGCCCTTTGCTGTGATACGTAGTACAATACTTAATCACCTGTTCATAAGCACCCTTCATATAACAAATCTCTGGTCTGTCCTGTTGTGTTCGGTGCACACACTTAACAGCCATCCACTTCTGCTCAGAGCTAAAAGGGTATTCGGCTTTTCTGATATAATCCTGTTGCAGTCCATCAAGACCCATCTTCATTGCAAGAGCAATTAAGGCTCCTTCCGTTGGTTTCCCCATTAGAGTGTTATTTCTAATTACAGCATCATTGCACACACAGCCAGCCTCAACAATTCTGCTAACAGATAGGTTATAGAATCCATGGACAACATCACCATCAACAATCACTTCCCCAAATGGATTGTAGCCAACTCCAGTAACCTCAGCACGCAGGCCATCGGAAGTAAACATGTGGGTAACAGTCATTTCATTCTTGGTCAGTGTTCCAGTCTTATCTGAACAAATCACATTACAGCAACCCAGAGTTTCAACAATAGGTAGTTTTTTCACAATCGCCCTCTTCTTCACCATTCTCATAACACCAAGGGCTAGAGTCACTGTGACCACAATGGGAAGACCTTCAGGAATTGCTGCTACAGCCAAACTTACACTATAGTGAACATTTCCAGTATGTCTTTTCCTAGTAACCAGCCAACCAACATGATGATACCTATTATACCAAAGGAGTAAAAGGAAAGTTGTTTTCCTAAAAGGTCCATGCTCTTCTGCAGAGGGGTTTTTGGTGCTTCTTCTGCTTGCATCATTTTAAAAAACTTCTCCAAATTCAGAATTTTCTCCTGTTCCAGTAACAATACCCTTTGCTTTGCCACATCTGACCAGTGTTCCCACGAAGGCAATGTTATTCCTTGATGCAAGATCTCCATTAGTAGCAGCCGGCTGAGGAGCTGTCACCTTAGAACAAGGTGTTGTCTCTCCTGTCAAGCTGGACTCATCAACAGAAAGATCCACAGCCTCAAACAAGCGCAAGTCAGCAGGAACCCTGTCACCAACTGAAAGGCAAACTGTATCACCTGGAACTAAGTCTCGTGCAAGTGTATGCTCCAATTTTCCTTCACGCACACAATGGCATTCTGGTGGCATAAGTTTATTTAGTTCTTCAAGAGATTTTTCTGAACGATATTCCGGAACAAAGGCGACCGTAACAACGATAAGTATTGCCACAGTGATACTGACAGCATCATCAAACTGATGCATTAAAACACTGATGACTGCAGAAGCCAGAAGCAGCATAATAAGGGGATTTTTAAACTGAGAAATATACTTCTTCCACAGTGGCTCATCTTCACTGATATCAAACTCATTCCAGCCATGGAAGGCTCTCCTATGACTTACTTCACATTTGTTTAGACCATTCTGAAGATCAGCTTGGAGAATGCCTGCAACTTCACTGACTGGTAATTCACTTGCTTTTTTTTTGATGTTAATACTGGAATCATTGTCTCATTTTCAGCATTAGAAATTTTTTGAAAACGTGCAACCTTCATCTTCCATCGAAACTGCACTTGGGTTGATGGCTACAAAGTCTTTAGTTTCAGCAGCGGCCACACTGGGAAGAAGGAGAGGAAGAGAACAAGAGAAGCCCCCGGAATCCCAGGCCATCACCCCCGCTCCCGGCCACGCGCCCGCGGCTGCGCCCACCACCCCTAGCAGCAGCATCCGCAAGGTCGCAGAAGCGGCTTGCCAAGCGGCGGCGCTGTACGGGCGCCTCTCCCGGCGCCTCTCTCGACGTGAGGGCGGTTACCGGGACTGCGGGCGGGGCGGGAAGGGGAGCAAGTGAGGAGACCGGTCTCGAGCCGGCCCGGGCTCGATGCGGCCGTGCTGGCCTGCTCCCGCCTCCGCCTCCTGGGGTCCGCCCTGCCCGCCGCCCGCCGCCCCGGCGCGCCCCGCACCCGGGGTCCGCCCCGCACTCAGAGTTAGCAAATTTGAAGATAATTCAATTGAGATTATCCTGTCTGAGGAAGATAAATAAAAAGGAATGACAAATAATGAACAGAGCCTCGGAAAATTTGATGGAATACCATCAAGCATACCAGCACGTACAAAATGGGAGTCCCAGAAGGAAAACAGAGGACAAGGGGCAGAGAGAATTATCTGAAGATATAAGGGCTGACAACTTCCCAATTGATGAAAATATTAATCTATAAATCCAAGAAGCTCAACAAATCCCAAAGATGATAAATCAAAGAGATCCATACCTGGATGCATCATAAACTGCTGAAAGCTAAAGACAAAAAAAAAAAGAGAGGAACCTTGAAAGCAGCAAGAGAGAAGCCATTCATCACATGCAAGGGATTCTCAATAAAACTGGCACTGATTTCTCCTCAGAAACCATGGAGGCCAGAACATAGGAGGATAACATATTCAAAACGCTAAATGAAACAATGTCAACCAAAAGTTTTAAATCCAGCAAAACTATCTTTCAAAAATGAAGGAGAAATTAAGATACTCCTTGATAATGGATAAAACAACTAGACAAGATCAGCAGGAAAACAGAAGATTTAAACAACATTATAAGGACTTTCCTGGTGGTCCAGTGGTTAAAAATCTGCTCGCCAATGCAGGGGACACAAGTTTGATCCCTGGTCAGAGAACTAAGATCCCACATGCTGTGGGGCAGCTAAGCCTACGTGCTACAACTACAGAGCCTACACTCTGGAACCCAAGCCACAACCAGCGAGAAACCACAACGAAAGATCCTGCATGCCGCAACACAGCTAAGATCTGTTGCAGCCAAACAAATAAATATTTTTTAAAACACATCAACACTACCTACAAACTAAATTAGCAGACATCTATAGAACACTCCACCCTACAACAGCAGAATATACATTCTTTTCAAGTGTGCCCGGAACATTCCCCAGGATAGACAATACTTTAGGCCATACATTTAAAAGGATCTAAATCATACAAAATATGTTGTCCAACAACAGTGAAATGAAATTAAAAAACAGGAGGAAATTTGGGAAATTAACAATTATATGGATAATCAACACTGCTAAATAACTAGTGGATCAAACAAAAAAAAATCACAGAAGTTAGAAAATACTTTGAGATGAATGAAAACAAAAACACAATCCTTGAAAGATGCAGTGAAAGCAGTGCTCAGAGTGAAACATAACTGTAAACATCTATATTAAAAAAGCAGATCTTAAGTCAATAATGAAACCTTCCACTTTAAGAAATAAGAAGAACCAAACCCAAAACCAGAAGGAAAGAAAAAGATTAGAGCAAAAATAAATGAAATAGAGAATAGGAAAATAATAGAGAAAAATCAAGAAAACAAAAAGTTGGTTCTTTGAAATGATCAACAAAATTCACTAATCCTGAGGGGGTAATGGGAGGGATAAATTAGGAGGCTGGGACTAACATATACATACTACTATGTATAGTTAGTTAGATTACCAACAAGGACCTACTGTATAGCACAGGGAACTATACTCATATTATACAATAACCTAAATGGAAAAGAATCTGAAATATATATACATATATTGCTGTGCTGTAAACCTGAAACTTATATGATATTATAAATCAACTATAGTTCAATAACAAATTTTTAAAACTTCCCTCTTAGAGTTGTTTAAAACACTTGACTAATCTTTAGCCAGGTTGTTCAAGAAAAAAAGAGAGCCTTAAATAACTAAAATCAGTAACATTACTACTAACTTGACAGAAATAAATTGGCTAAGACACCTACTCTTCAAAGGGATGAGTATGAAAGAATCAGAGGGAGACTATTTGGTGAATTTCAAAAATGGCTATTTCAGGAAGAGATTTGTGAATTTCAAAACTGCCTCTTGGGAAAGAAAGGGAAATCCTTTCTGATAAGTATTCTCTATGGACTGACTAATGTCTTAAAAAACAGTAGTAAGAATAATAGTTCGAAGGGGAAAGAGACAAGAAATTAAGTTGGAGTTTTGCAGAGTATTTCTTCTCTGCAATATTTTTATGTCTGAGCACATGGACCACAGCCTTGTCTAACTCAATGAAACTAGGCCATGCTATATGGGGCCACCCAAGATAGCTGGGTCATGGTGGAGAGGTCTGACAGAATGTGGTCCACTGGAGAAGAGAATGGCAAACCACTTCAGTATTCTTGCCTTAACCCCATGAGCAGTATGAAAAGGCAAAAAGATAGGACGCTGAAAGATAAATTCCCCAGGTCAGTAGGTGCTCAATATGCTACTGGAGATCAGTGGAGAAATAACTCCAGAAAGAATGAAGGGATGGAGCCAAAGCAAAAACAACACCTAGTTGTGGATGTGACTG